TGAACCGTACATCGGAAAGCGGTTGGGGGGTTCACCTTCACAACGATGTTGTGTGAACTCAAAACGCACCTTTTCGTCATAAACTAATGTAAAAATATCTTCAATAGAGGGCAGGACTTTTCGAGCTTCTCCTATGCCAAATCTCAAGTTCTCGAGGTCCCTTTGAACACTTATGTCATTGGCCTCCACCCTCAGCAGATTTATTTTGAGGCTTCTGGTTAGAGCGGCCTCGATCGTTGCCACAGCTGTGTTCAGTTCCTCGCAAATGCGGGAGTACTGAAGCACGCTCTGCTCCTCCTCATCTTGCAAACTAGTCCGGATATCTCGGAGGTCATTGACAGCCATATTTAGATTGATGAGTCTTGTTAGCAGCTTGGCGGTCCTCTGTACAAGTGCAAAAGGTAAAAAAGGAGGGTCAAACAAAATTACTCAATTATGTGCGAACTAAAATGCCATCTGTTGCAGGACAACACTAAATGCAATGTGTGGGTCACTTACTCTCAATGGAGATCACAAAGCTTGCGTCGACTGCATAGAAGCAGACGAAATAAAGGAGAGAAAATGAGGACAAAAAAAGAAATGATGAGAAGCAGACCGTGCTTTTGCCTTTGCAGTCGTCCATGAATTGCAGGCATCTATCTCGTAGCTTTGGGTATTCATCAGATAAAGATGCATTCACTGGCCAGCAAACGACTGTCCCTCAGACGGGAGCCATACCGTAATCCTCTAGATCCACAGGGGATGGGAACTCGCATGTCAGCATCAAATAATCTCACAGACATTCTACGCTTCCTACAGCCACACAAGAGTGAGATAGGGAGAGGGCTTGAGGATCGCACGATGGCGAAGTGCCCTTCAGTTAACTTTGGAGTAAAACAGACTCATCTTTCCCTGTGACTCTTTGCATCCTTCTGCAACATGGATGTTCCCCCTACCATGGTAGCTGTCAGCTTGTTTGAGAATACGTCACCTTATCTGTTCCATAAGCTCCGTGACCATAAACTGCCTCCCATTAGTTAATTCGCACTGCTTAGAATTGGAGCAATCCTGGTAGTTGTAAGACGTGGCTAAAGCAGAGATAGCCTACCTGCATTCCAGTTAACAATAGACAAAATAATCAAATTAACGATAGAGGTAGAAGGAGATAAAATATTGGAAAACTCACTGATACGATTGGAGCTGATGTGTTGGTCTGCGCTGCGCCCTCATTCACAAGGTCGACTTCAGGGTTGAAGATGTCTTGCGAGGCCGGTTGCTTCTGCTATTTTTGCAAGACCCATAATGGAAAACGTAAAAGAGACTGGCCAGAGAATAAGTAAAGATTAATGCGCAGTCTTCTGCTGATCACTCACTGTAATTCCCTTCAAGGACGAATAAACGTCTCTAATTTTAGCAACCTCGATTGAAAGTTCAGCGATTTGTTGGGTCAATTCGTCAATGCTCTCGTAACTGTCCATTTGTAATTTCTCGATGATGGAATCCAGTGCCTTGCATGAAGTCTCTTGTAACTTCTTCATTGCACTTTCCAAGGCACCAACATTTTCAGCCTTTGCATACTGTCCCGGATCCAACTCCGAGATCATTAACTCCTTTAGTTGCTGAAGATGCATCTCCAAAGTTCCTTTCGCATTTGCCTTTATCGCATCGGCCTTTATCTGGGTCTCTCCATCTTTTTCCGCCTGCTTGTTCTGATTCTGTTGCTCTTCTGTCTGTTCCTGCTCATTTGCTTCTTCTACTTCTTCTTGTAGCGCTGTCAGACAGATCTGCAACGCTATTTTGTGGTTGGGTCGTAATTTTGTGGTCTCAAACTCCACATCGCAGTTGATGCAACGTGCTTTCAAAGCTCCATCCTGCGCTAGCAAACAGGGTCGCAAGCAAAAGGAATGTCCGCATGGTAGGATGTAAGGATCCCTCATCCTTTTAAGACAAATAAAAAAGGGGAAGTAAGTTTATATTCCTCCTTCCATGAAGTAGTTTTCGGGCCATTACATTCGCCAATAGTACCCTGGGCTCGGAAACAGAGGTAGACCTGCATTTAACACCCAACATTATAATTGATCGTTCCATTCCACTATCGAACCATATCTGGCACTTTAAAGGGTCTCTCTAAACAAGGAGTGCAAAAGTATTTTTGAAGTAAATATGCCATCTATTACAGACTACTTAATCAGCCACATCAGTACTGGATACCTTCGCTAAATGAGGCAGCCGTCTAACCTCTATCTATGACAATGACCCACCGTTGCTCCCACCTTACACTTCTAACCTGCCTTTTTTACCCACATTGGCATGCCTCATTACAAATTCTATGAAGACTCTGCACACCAAAACCCCTCTATTAATAACAACTCCTGTATTGAGCTAATAAAATTGTACTTTTCCAAATAGGTTATTCTGGTTTATCACCTCTAAGAAGAATTTTGGGCATACTTCGCCCACATATTTCCTTCCATATAACTCTCATGGCCTGTTTCCTTTGGATCCCTCAACGGAATTAATCGCTCATCTACTCGGATTGAGAGCTATCGGTGTGATAGGGAACAGATGATCATTTTAGCATATTATCCTGTGTAATTTCGAGTCCCTGCTTTCACAAAATTCATAAGAAAATAGGTCTGCTTTGAACAAACAACTCACCTGTTTTTGCACACTCCACAAATAAGACCGGCATCTTTTGCATCCATCGCTTTGTTGCGCCGTTCTCCGATCTAATGACAGTATGTATGTTATATCTTAAAACCAATTAGAATGACAGCTGTACTTGTCATCTTATTGGCCAATCAAATAACCAATAATAATGTGTATTACTCAAGGTCAGATATTGCTTATACTCTTGGCTTGAGCTGAGCAAGAGACAAGTTGTGTTGAAAATTCAGATATGTCCAAACCTCAAGCCTGTTTAACATCTTATGGCAGATGTCCGCCTCCTTAAGTGAAATTAATAGTCGACTGCAAGGCAGAAAATCGTCAGATTTTCAGTAACCTCCTCCTCCTCCTCCTCCTCCTC